CTCTCCCGTGACGGCGACCGCGAGACGTGTTGCGCATAGTGCTCAGGAGACGCAACAAGCGCTTCGTGAGAGGGCACTGGGCGAATGCTCTGTGCAGATCGTTTGGGAGAGACCACTGCACTTCCATCTTTCCAGGCGGACCGATCAGCAACAGCGGCAGCAAAGGGATCGGCAGTCTGTGCTTCAGTCTTGGTAGGTGCGCGTTCGATGACTGGTGCAGCAGCCGGCACGGCTGGAGCTTGAGGTACCGGGGCTGGCTCAGCAGGGGCCGTCGCTGCCCGCACTGGTGTTGGTGCTTGCACGGGAGCGGGTGTTGGCACTTGCGCGGAGGCTGATGCCGGTGCCGGTGTTGGTGCTGATGCCGACGCCAGCGCTGGTGCAGGTTCTGCTCTCGGAGGCGCCACGGGTCCATGCGCGTCAAGGCTCGCCTTAGATGGCTTCTTACCGGCAGCCTTGGATGTGTCGTCGCCCCGCCCGTGGTCTGCAGGGCGTTCCTGGGCTGTGCCCGGAGCGGTGGGGGCGACGGGAGCAGCGGTGGAGGGCGCCTTCTGCTCCAGCTGCTCAGCGGCGACCTGGAGAGAGATGGGCTCCTGCCTTGGTGAGATGACCGTGACCTTCTCGACCGGTGCTACAGACGCTTCGGCCGGCTTGGGAGGGGTGGCTGGCTGAGGTTGGGGAGTTGGTGGTGCAGGTACTGGCGCCGCCTCCGTCGATGCTGGTACTATAGCAATTGGGACTGAAGCCGGTGGCGCTTCGGCGGCAGGCTCCGGCTCTTGCGTCAATACCGGTGCGGCAGATGTCACTGGTGAAGGTTCAGGAGACGGTTTGGCTTCATGAGCGAGAGGGGATGGATGGTGCACTGGGTGTGCCGGAGATGATGTTGCAACTTCTGCGGCATTGGCAGCGGCCTCGCGTACTGGGGACTCAGCGACGGGGCTGGGCAGAGAATGCCCTTCGTCCGCTGACGCCTGCGCCAACGCCTCCTTGCGCAGCGAATTCTTCGACTCCGAGCGAGGAAGGCCCTTTAGAGAGAAGCCTGACGAGTTACGCCGGAGCATAGTGCCCATTCTGCTGAGGGCGCGAAGGCCGGTTCGTGATGGCGAGGGAGAGGACGGTCGCACGCCGGGCGTTGGCGGCGGAGAGGAGGCGGGCGTGCTAGTTGTTGAGGCCATGATTATGGGGCTCGAGTCTCCTAGTGGGCGTGAGTATGGCCAGAGGATCAGGCGAGATGTGTCTCCAGGACGTAGATGAGGACTCGTATCGCAAGCAAGACAGATATATATGAAAGGAATTATCGCCTGCCTGACGGCTACATTGCGGACAAGGGCAGTTGTACACGCTCCCGGATGAAATGCATGCCATAGCTGCGCGATATGATGGGCCCCTCATCCGTTCGGCGAACCGATATTATGTGCTAGGGCGGGCGCGTGTGGTACACGTGTTAGGCTCTACCTCCGTCTCTTTGCATGGTTTCCCAGAGTCTGCGACGTTTGGAGACAGAGCGCACCTAGCCTATGATTTCTGTTCATTACGGGTCAGCTGACAGCGTACGCAGTTCGTCAGCACAGCTCACCACAAGATACATGACTTCCACATTATGTTATGTTCTTGAAACATTAGCGTCACGAACACGCTGTAGCTTCATGCATTCGGAAATGAAGTCGCTGCTGGAGATTAAGCTCTCTGAGATCATATCTCATGCACAGCCCGAGCAGCGCATTCGGAGAAAATAATGGTATTCTGGGTGGTCAAATAGCTTGTATGCAGACGATAGATAGATATGTTGTAGATTTGGGCATCGTCAGGGATGGTGTAGAGGTGACAGGCATTCCGTTATTCGACGTAGTGAGAAAGAAAAAGATAGAAGTGTTAACGCTTGATATAGTAAAGTATATAGCTACTGAATTCCCACAGTAACAACTTTAACTAACCTCAGCTATTTAAACTTTTACCACTTCCACGTACGTACTTCAGCCTGCATTTCCTGCTCAGCGTAGGTTTTACACACGGAACGGATCCTGGAGACAGCGTGGCGGGATGCTTTTGGACGTAAATGTGCGTGTATTTCCTCGCTCTTCGTGTGTGGTATGCTAAGTACCCGCTCGCTTGCAGAGAAAGCTGTTTGCGCGGTCAGACCGTGTCAAGGGTGTCGACTTTCACCCCACAGAGCCATGGCTACTCACTGGTCTCTACAACGGAACAGTGAATATCTACAACCACGAGACAGGGGTCCTCGTTAAGACGTTCGAAGTGGCTGAAGTCCCCGTACGATGTGTGCGCTTTATCCCGCGCAAAAACTGGTTCATCGCTGGCTCCGACGACTTCCAGCTCCGCGTATTCAACTACAACACACACGAAAAGGTCGCTGCTTTCGAGGCGCACCCTGACTACATTCGATGCTTGACAGTACATCCGACTGCAAGCATCGTCCTAACCGGAAGCGATGACATGACGCTTAAGGCATGGGACTGGGACAAGCAATGGCGCTGTATTCAGGTGAGTAGCGAATGTAGATCTCGAGGGGAATTTGAAACCAACATTGGTGACGATTTGTAGACGTACGAGGGTCATACACACTATATCATGAACATTGCCGTCAACCCAAAGGATCCGAATACCTTTGCTTCGGCGTGTCTCGACCGGACAGTCAAGATGTGGTCACTTGGCTCTCCGACAGCCAATTTCACTATGGAGGCACATGATAAGGGTGTCAACTACGTTGAATTTTATCCCGGCGCCGACAAGCCATACCTCGTGACGGCCAGTGATGATAAGACAGTCAAGATCTGGGACTACCTCAGCAAGAGCTGCGTACAAACCCTAGAGAGCCATACCAACAATGTCCTCTTTGCTGTCTTCCACCCGAGCCTACCGCTCATCGTCAGTGGTGGTGAGGACGGTACCGTCAAGCTTTGGAACAACGGCACGTACCGCCTCGAGAACACCTTGAGCTACGCGCTTGAACGTGCATGGTGTATCGCCCTGCGGAAGACCACGAATGAGATTGCCATCGGTTACGACGAGGGTGTCGTGGTGGTCAAGGTAGGCCCCTTGCTTTACACCGTGCATTGTCGGACTCAGATCTCTTAGCTCGGCCGCGAAGAACCCTCGTATAGCATGGACCCCTCTGGCAAGCTGATCTACAC